GAGGGGCAGTCAAAAGCGTGTTGAGTGCAGAGTCCTTATGATTGTGTTTTTGGTCCTTCCAAAGCCTAGCTCTGCTGCTGGTGCCATTCCTCACTCTGGGTAAGATGACCTTACTACTGAGATAGCTACCTTTCTGTAGTTGGAACCGGAGTAAATGAGGTTAGTCCACTTGCAAGATTTTCACCTATCCATAGATTCTTACTAAATGGTTTATCTTTAATGGCAAGAGGCAAAGTCTACACTGGCCAGCATGTATCAGATGGAAAGTTTCCATGTAAGCAGATCCTGTTTAGCTTGTATCACATTTTTCTTTTTTGTTAGATAATGCCATACTTTGAGGGATGAAGCAACTATTTTCTAGATATAAATACGAGAGCATTTTGCTTTTTAAGAAAAAAAGTCTAGAAATTATGTTTCTTCACTTTTTAAAATCTTTATAATGAAGTCCTCCCTCTCCTTATATTAATTCAATGATCTAATTTTACGTATTCTCTGAAATACTGATATATTTCTGTAGTCCATATGTTTTTAAACTATGAATCATTTTGTTTCTACATTTGGTAACTAAACTATTACTGCTTCTGAATAAATATGAATATACCACTTTATAGTGATTTCTACAGCCCCAGAAATTTGGGCTGAATTTTAAAATGTGATGACTCCTTAGAAAATATAAAGAAACAATGTGTAATTCTGAAAAACAGAAGAGAAAATTCACTTCTTCTTCCCTCCGGAAAAAAACTGCACAATAATGATTCTTGTACTTTAATTTTTGCTTGAAAGAAATATAGACATTCTGAAAATCCCAAGGGTAGAATTACATTTTCTTGTGAAAAGGTGACTTTAAATCAAAGCCCAGAGAGAACATCAGAGGGTTCCATTTTCCTACCTGGCAAATCAAGTGCCCAGTTAAAATCATGCCTTTGCAAAAGAAACCTTATTGTTTAACCACTTCATTATCTGACTTCCTCTAAGCAAAGAGCATTATCTGTGTAGCTAGTATGAGTACTGGGAAAAACGCACATTTTGCAAGTGTGGAGAAACTCACCCTACCTGGAAATTCTACTTTAAGAGAATGTTACAGGCCACTGAAGGACGAGCAGTCGAGAAACAAAGGTGTGCAAAAACAAACAACTCAGGTTTCAAAGCTTAAAAACAAAGAAAATAGGAAAGAACCTAAACTTGTGTAGCCTGTTTGTTCATTGTCAGGACAAATGCTGGGAATGCGCGAGAGTCCAGTCCAATGAAAACAAGTGTGGGTGGTAGGATTATGGATCATTAATTTTCTTCCTTTCTCTATTTTCCATTTCTTTCCTATGATGAAATGCTACTTCTATATTATGTTCAAAAAAAAAAAAGCTTTTTAAAATTACTTTTGTTTCTCCAGCTACCATATCTGCTCCTGGCAACTGAGCAAGCCAGTTCTGTCCTCTGCTAGTCATGCAAAAAGACAGTGAGTATGAAATAGCTAGACAGTCTCACCAGATTTCAGGGTGCACAAACCCTCAGTACGCTTTTATTTCAAAACAAAAGAATTTTAAAATTTGGCATCTCTTTCTATCAATGTGGACTAATTACCCCTAATATTTAACTCTACTTAAACTGTGTATCAAGAGACTATATGTACATTAGGTCAAATAAGTAAAATACTCTGATGATGGCTAGCTTTGAATGGAAATAGGCCGTTTGCTGAAATATATTTGCTGTAGGAAATGATGGAATAATTTTATCACAATTATTTCAGGAGTTGGTAAAAGTTGCCCATAACAAAATTCATACTGTGACTAGACCCATTTATAGGCTCACACGTGTTTGCATGTTACAGACGGATGGCTATAAAGTTGCTTTAGCTTGTGTTTACACTTAATAGAATTGAAGGCATTTAGGAAAAGTTTTAGTTGGACTGCTGATATGCTGAAGAACAAAGGACATGGGGCAGTGTAGAAACCACAGCAGAAATAATTGCATCCTTCAGATTCAAATTCTAAGAAAACTACTAATAGACTAGAAGGGTGTTTAAATTCCTAAACCTGAGGGGTCTACATCTTAAAGAACACAGACTCTAGTTAAGACACATCATAGTCAAACTGACAAAAACCAAAGATTAAAAAGATTAAAGCAACCAGTGGAAGATGACATATTATATACAGATATTTTGTGCTTATGGATTAGAAGAATTAATATCATCAAAATGTCTGTCCTACGCCAAGAAATCTATAGACCCAATGCAGTCCCTGTCAAAATACCAATAGTATTTTTCACAGAACTAGAACAAATAATCTTAAAATCTGTATGGAACCTATGGAGGCTAAACGCGAGATCTGAAACCATAAAACTCCTTAAAGAAAACATAGGCAGAATCTCTTGGACATCAGCCTTAGCAACATTGTCTATCTATGTCTCCTGAGGCAGGGGAAACAAAAGCAAAAATAAATATTAGGACTACACCAAAATAAAAAGCTTTTGCACAGCATAGGAAACCATCCACAAAACAAAAAGGCAACCTACTAAGTGGGAGAAGATATTTGAAATGACATATCTGATCAAAGGTTAATATCCAAAATATATAGAGGACTTACACAACTCAACACCAAAAAACCAAATGATCTGATTTAAAAATGGGCAGAGAAATTGAATAGACATTTTTCTAAAGAAGACATAGAGATGGCCAAGAGACAATCAGTAATCATCATGTGAAAATGCAAATCAAAACCACAATCACCTTACACCTCTCAGAGTGAAATCAAAACACAAGAAATAATGAGTGTTGGACCCTCTTGCACTGTTGGTTGGATTGCAAACTGGGGCAGTTACTCTGGAAAACAGTATGAGGATTCCTCAAAAAATTAAAAATAGAAATACCATTTGATTCAGTAATTCCACTATTGGATATTTACCCAAAGAAAACAAAAAAACTAACTTGAAAAGATATATATTACTCCTATGTTTATTGCAGCATTATTTATGATAATCAAGATATGGAAGCAACCTAGGTGTCCACCCACAGATGGATGGATAAAAAGGATGTGGTATACATATTCTTTTTTATGACCGAATAATATCCATTATATATCTATATATAGGTATAGACATAAACATTCCAAATAAAAACAAAAACAAAAACACAGATTTTCAGACAGGATTTAAAAGGAAATCTAACTATAAGAGTTCTATATGAGAAGCACTTTAACTGTAAGACACAGACAGATAAGTTGAAAGTAAATAGGTAGAAAAGATATACCATGTGAAGAGTAGGCATGAAAAGGCTGGCTTGGTTGTATTATTATCAGAAAAAAACAGACTTCAAGCAAAGCCTTTTACCAGAGATAAAGTGGGATGTGATCCATGCATCAGAAAACTGTACTTATAAAAATGTATGTACTTAGTATCAGAGCTTTGAAATATATGAATTGACTGAATTGGGGCGCCTGGGTGGCTCAGTCGTTAAGCGTCTGCCTCCGGCTCAGGTCATGATCCCAGGGTCCTGGGATCGAGCCCCGCTTCAGGCTCCCTGCTCCGTGGGAGGCCTGCTTCTCCCTCTCCCACTCCCCCTGCTTGTGTTCCCTCTCTCGCTGTGTGTCTCTCTGTGTCAAATAAATAAATAAAATCTTTTAAAAAATTGACTGAATTAAAAGAAGCCAAAGATAATTCCACCACCATAGATAGAGATCTTAATACCCCTGTGTCAGGAATTGACTGAACAATGAATCCCTTTCCTTTCCCCACAAGATCACTAGACATAGACCTTAGTCTAGGAATTGGTTACTGGGGAAGCTCTTTGCTAGATGAGCCACTGCAGAGGGGACCCAGTATCTTTGTGACCCCACTGATAACACAAAAATAATTTTAAAAAAATTTTTTAAGTGAGTAGATTTGAAGTATTTCTATTGCTATTTCTCTACATGTTCTGCATTAGTTTTTCTTTTCCTTTTTTAAAAGATTTTATTTATTTATTTGAGAGATGAAAGAGAGAGAGAGAGCACACGGGGGGAGGGGCAGAGGGAGAGGGAGAAGCAGACTCCCTGCTGAGCAGGGAGCCTGATGGGGGACTTGATCCCAGGACCCTGGGATCATGACCTGAGCTGAAGGCAGACGCTTCGTGAACTGAGCCACCCAGGCACTCCCTGCATTAGTTTTTCTTGTAACATAATTTTTCCAGCTCCAAAAAGTGCCTGAACACTATTTTCTGTACAGATTTCCCTCCCATTCCAGTCTCTACATAATTTTAAGAACATTTTTGTTTTTTAATTGGGATGTTTTGTTCTATGTAGCTTCTTCCCACCATGTGTGCTGAGGGTCTTAATAGTGGTGTTAGCCAGGGAATGGCTTGTTTATTCTGCGGTTGTACCACTAATGGCCCGAAATGATGGCATAAATAGGCCAATTCACTTTCGTGCTTTTCATCTCTGTTCACAAGGCAGAAAACAAGAGAGAATAATTTTTTTGACAGAGAAAAGTGATAGTAAGTTTAGACTATAAACCTGGTCTTTTGGAAAAAAAAAAAAGACACGAGACGGTTTTGTACTTCCTTCCTCGGCCTCTCTTTTACAAAGGAAAGATTAAAGCAGGGACTTAGCCCATGTTGGTTCTCACAAGACAGCCTCTTTCTCTAAGGAAGCATGTTATAGAACTGGGCCAGCAGGCTCTCCGACCTACTCCCAGCTTTGGTATTTTCTGGTCATGAGCTTTGGATCTGTCAGCCAACCTCTTTCAGGGTCTGATTTTATCTCTCACACAGGGGCAGTGTGGATAGGCTGCCCCTCCTATTTCACAGGGTTGCTAAAAACACGTAAATTAGATTCTTGTGAATGCGCTTCATAAAGCTGTGAGGCCTGATACAAATATGAGGTATCATCTCTACTACTCTACTACTGTTCTTTATTGAATTAGATCTTATTTAATTAGAAAAGGTGAAAGCTCTAGTAACACTCTCTTAGGTATTGTAGCTCCTTTGGCTTAACCTTCTTTTTTTATTTCTAGTGGGTCTTTACCTCATGCAATTAGGCCTTGTGTCCCAACTGTGAAAAAGAAAAAAAAAGAAAAAGAAAAAGAAAAAAAAATCTTCCATTTCCATACCGTACTCTTTGTCTGAGGGTGATTTTTAATTATACATCCTGAAGTATAGTCTCTCTGATCTCAGAAAGTGACATTCCTCTGATTCTGACTAAGTTTATGCCCCTGGATAGAAGTCATGCCTGCCCTCCACTAAGTATTCTCAAGTGTGACTCACCCTGGGTTTTTTTAATCCACTTCTTCCTCTGGAAGAGAAACTTGGGCCAGTGTATTTGCCCACCTTATCTGTTACCTCTGTCCTCCACTCCAGGAAATAGACTCATTCCTCTGTTACCCCCAATGCTTGAAGATATTTCACACTCCATAAATCTATGCCTGATCATATATATGCTTTAGATACTAAGAAATAAAACAAAGGGACTTGTATTATATATACACATATATATACATATACATATATATGTACATATATATATACACATATATATAATTGATTGTGAAGTATAGTCAAGTGTTGGACTAGGTATAAACAAACAAACAAACAAGCAAAACACAATTTCCCCCCAAACCTTGCCTTTATGTAGTGCTTTACTACAGAATGCTTCTTGTACATCACAGGGCCAGAGTGTATTTTTCCAATAATACCTGAATCATCATTAGTCCAGAAGGCTCTTGGGTCAGGCTTGGTCAGGATGCTGGCATGATTACATGGCTCTTTCGCCTTGAAAACATAAGGAGAAAAGAAGTGATGTGAAAATGGATTCACTGTTTCAGCTGTTTCCAACCTACAGTTCTATAGGCAAGAGTCCAAGCCTGAAGCTAGCACATATGGCCGTCCTGGGCAAATTGGGATCATGGGTGACCCTTGACCTGACGCAGTTTCACCTCCAGGGCTCCTGGCTAGATAAGCACATGGGGGCCGGAACTCAGCTTCCACTAGCTCCCTTCTCCCATGATTTTTGCAGTGTGCAACCTAGACAGCTGTACGCAGAAGCCTTGTAGGATTAGCAATATATTAAGGTAAGGACCCTTATCACATGAAACGTGTTTTGGACTTTGTAATAGAGATGGTACCTTTAGTATATATGCTTGGGAAAATACATAAGGGAGAGCTCTTTTTAATTCAGTGGCACTTTAAAATAAATTCTTCTGAAACTAATACCACACTGTATGTTAACTAAAGAGAACTTGAACAAAAACTTGAAACAAGTAAAATGAGTTATTTTATAATCATAACAGAATCTATATTTTTAAAATAGCAGCACATACACATATGCAATATATATATATATTATGCATTCAGCCTAACTAACATCTCTGCCTAGTGCACATCCAAATAATAGATGCTTCACAATAATTTCCAGGGAACAGGAATGATCCTTTTTTTGGGTGCAACTTTATACTAATGTGATGTGTGGCTTTCCAATATGTTTCAATTGGGGAAATATAAATCTTACGGTTAATAAGGACATTCCATTTATAGATATTTTGTATCTATAATTTGATTACTGTGAAAAGTCCCTATGACTATTTAATGGATAAATTCCTTCCATTGCAGCAACAGTCAAAATAGTCAAGAATGTCACTTAATACTTTGTTTAGTTCTGCTGGCCTTTTCTCTCCATAGCAGGCCTTTACTGATGAAAGAAGCAGTGCATCAGTTTGCAATCCAGCACAAGCTCCTTCTCTTGTTGTGAGCTACTACCAAAGAACGTGTAGAAATCAGGATCTTGGAGAGTTATTTGCACCCTTATGTTCATTGCAACATTAGTCTCAGCAGCCGGGAGAGAGAAATAACCTACATGTCTCTAGACAGATGAATGGATCAAGAAAATGTGGTATACACATACAGTGAAATATTATTCTGCCTTAAAAAAAGAAGGAAATCCCACCATCAGCAACAACGTGGATAAACCTATGCTAAGGGAAATAAGCCAAACATAGAGGGACAAATACTGCATGATACTACTTCTGAGAGGAATCTAAAGTAGTCAAACGTGCAAAATCAGAGAGTAGAATGGTGATTGCCAGGGGTTAGGGAAGTAGGAAGTTGAGGAAGTGGGTATAAAGTTTCAGTTACACAAGATGATTAATTTCTAGAGATCTGCTGAACAATGTTGGGCCTAAAGTTAATATTACTGTAATGTACACTGAAAAGATCTATTAATAGGGAGGATTTCATGGTAATTGTTCTTACCACACACAAAAAAATCTGGGGATTGGTCACCCTCCTCCATCTGTGAATATATCAGATAGGCACATAAACAATTTGGTAAATAAAAATGGAAGTCATCTACATTTTATTAATGCAATTTTCTGGTAGTGTAATGTGTTTTTAATTGATAGGAAACATGATTTCAAAAGTTAAATTGTGGTAAAAGAAAATCATGAAAATATAAACCTCAAGGGAAAAAAAAAAAAGAATGTGTGGACCCGCACCATTCCCTGGATGACATTTTGAGCCAGCAATGCAAAAATCCCTCAGACTTCACTAAGTGGCCTCAGTGTAAATTCCTTCAAAGGAATAACATATTCCATGAAAATACTGCTCCAATTGTTAAAAGTTCTTTACAAGTTGAATTGAAATCTGGATCCTTGAAACTTTGCTCACCGGTTCTAGTTCACTCTTGAGTTGCACAGAGCTGCTCTCCTTGAGAAATAATTCCTCAAATATTGGAGAGTAGCTATTCTGTCTCATCTGAGCCTTTCATTTCCAGGTTAGCAGGCCTCTTCCTGGTTTTAAGTCTCTTTACTGAGATAAAAATTTCAAGCACACACAAAAGTAAACAGTATGATAACCATTTATGTACCCATTATCCAGCTTTTAACAGTCTTCAACACTTTACCATTTTACCAGCCTTAGTTCATCTATTCCCCTCTTTATTAGGCTGGAATATTGTGAAGCAAATACCAGACATCATGACACTTCATCTATAATTTCTTTAGAATGTTTTTAACTAATGACTTTTTTTTCCATAACCACATGCCATTAGCACAACCAACAATTTCAACTGTAATTAGATTTATTAAAGTTTAATGAAGGCTGTTAAAGTTTATTTATTTAATTAATGACAGCATAAACATTCTGAAAAACAGAATGAGCCCTTGCACTGTTTTGCATACAGAGCAATTTGGAACTGATGATTAGGAAGAGATCCTCTAAAGTTGTGAGTTCAACAAAGTCAATGGAACTTAGTCTCACTTACTTAAATCCTTACAGGCTTTTGGGGGAGGTTATCTTAAAAAAATATTTTTCTAATAGAAGTGGTACTATCTTGCAACTTATTTCTAATATGTCCCTGGAGGGAAAGGCGGGAAAATCTCCTTCCCTAATAGAATGGAAAGTTTTAGAGTGTGAAGGTGAAGGAAAGGATTACTTCCAGAAGGTCATTGCTGAATGCTTATTCCCTAGAGTGCTGAGATCTAGAAGTACTTACATAAGTTACTATAACATTAGAACATTAGAAAGATAAGGGCATTTGAAACAAGGATAGAAGTAGTTTAATATTAGAAGGTAGGGTGCATCAGAATAACTCATCTAGGGAGATGTCAGATGTTCAGAAATTTTGGACAAGCTCTGGGAAATGAACCTGTGAATAAATCATTAGAGATTCCACTGACATGAGAAATGAGCCAGATCTTAATTCTATAAAATGCCTTCAGTTAATGACAAGTTGTAATATTTGTAGGATCGCCAGAAGGAAACAGCTCTGGTCCCCTTTCCTCATTCCATCTTATCCTGATTTAAGGAACATTGATCCACAATAAATAAATATACATGCATATATAAATAATTTAAAAATCACCCGTGGTGATGATATAGGAAAAATAAATCAGAACATATGAATTTGTCCCTGATTTGTTTTTGACTTATTTATAATTTGTGTATGACTTTTTATGATTTTAGCAGTATGCTACTAAAGTACGCAGTATACTTTACTGCTAAAGTCATTAGTTCTCCCTAAAATACAGTAGGAACTCTCAACATGCTTGTTTCTTCTTAACCAGGGAAGTTGATTCTCTCCCATCTCAGGTTACATGATGTTCAAAAGTAAGCAAGAACACTTTATATCTAGGGAAATAAGATTTTGCTTCTTAAACTGCTTTAGTGAAGCTTTAGAAAACGTCCTCTAGATGCAATCACAGGATGTAAAGCCATCCTGCAAATATTAAGCTTAAATTCAGTTCTGCGCATCCAGGGGAAGAAAAGTCTTCCTTGATTTTTTTTCTCTTGAATGACTTCATTATATCCAACAAGTATTTATTAAGCTTTTGTTTAAGGCCAAGGGGCTATCCTGGTTGTTATAAGGGTACAATGGAAATGCATTGATCACTAGGACCCTACTTTCTGATTTTGGGAGTAAGACATAGACATCCACAAAGATGTCTATGGAACCTCATATCAAGTACCTCTAAATCCAAGATGAGGAATGTTGTATAGCTATTAAATTTTGTCCATGTTTTAAAAAAGGAAGCAATAGTGTGGGCAAAGGTGTCGAGCAAGGCTTTAAAGAAGAGGGAGGACTTGAGCAGTTTTGGAAAATACTGGCAACATTTGGAATGGTGCATAGGCAGTAGAAAAGCATCCAGGGTGGGAGGGGCAAATACAAACAAAGGTGTGGGAACAACGCTTAATAAGGCATATGGTTAGGCAACTCTTGGTGGAACAATCTCATGGGAATAGAAGGCTCATGGGAGAAATGACTGGAAACTAGGTAGAAGCCAGATGGTGAAAGGCTTTGAATGTCAATGAATCCTTCACTCTGAGGGAATTCAAGAGCCTTGGCAGTCACAAAGGACGAAAGCCGAGGAGATTAGGAGGCTGCTGCCTTGTCGCAGAAACACTGACGAGAGCACGACGAGCAAGGGCACTGTGAAAATGGAAAGGGTGGGATGGCTGTGAAGGGCAGCTGTAATGATTTTGTAAGATTTGAGGGATGACCGAAAATAAGGGAAGATGGAGGAGTCCAACATATTTCTTTGGAACTTTGGAACTTGGGGACCAGGAAGGATGGTCAACTGTGGTCATGACTGTCTACAGTCCTCGGCAGCTAAAGAAACCACTCTACGCTGTGCCTCAGCTAACATGGTGAGCTCGTGGAGCACACGTAGGCTCTGGTTAATGTGCTGTAACTACAGTCCTTCTGGCAGCACTTGCTTCATCTCTGACCCAGACCAGACCCAGACCATATCATCTTTGGGTGCTTAGTGGTGACGCTTGCACAGTTGTGGCGGCGGGGACCGGGGCGGGGGGGGTGCGGTTCTCAAGCCTCTACCTCTGGGCTAATCCTCCACATTGCTCACGGCAGGATGAGAATCCATCCACACTGTTTCAATACCACAAACATCCCACAGTCTGTGTATCTGGTATCAGTAACCTCACAGTGTACATAAGGACAGCAGGAGTCTTGTCAAGAGATTCGTCAAAGAATCTCAACAGAGATCCCAAGTCTTACAGTTCTGGGTGAACTGATGATTTATCATCGTTCAGTTGCTTAACATTAATTACATCCATATGACATGGAGCATAGGGACTATTCTTGGCCCCTGAAGAAATTGTGATTCCAAGCAAGTTGACAAATGTTCTTCTTTTGGAGGCTTTATTTCACTTGCATTCTTGTTGGTTTTTTATATTTTTTGATTTGGCCTTTGTGACTGTGAATTGCTTAAGACAATTTACCATCCAGCCCATTTTGCTTATTTATGTTTCCAGCCAGCCCA